TTAAAGAATGGTCATATTTTAAGAGAAAAAAATAAAAATAAAACAACAAGGACAAGAAATATTAAAAAGAACATTGCTTCACCATAAATTCAAACAGTCTAAGTTGTTCCAGGTATTTCCAAACATTTCATGTTTTAATTGGCTTCCCAGGGCTACAAGTCACATCCACTTAATCTTGTATTGATTTTCTAAGATGATTCCTGTTACTATGACTACCCCAATCAATTAACTTCTTATAAGTAGCAAGATAATTTTCTTTCTTGTTTTTTTCCAGTGAAGTCTAAATAATTTATTTTCACAAAAATATCTGTTGTTGCCTCTTATCTGTCAAGGAACTACATTATGTTGGTAAAAATGTTTGAGGCCTTTCATTTAAAAATGTGTTTAGAGATTTTGCACAGAGAAAGCATACAGAATTGTCTTGGAACAATATCATGACCTTATCAGTCTGGGTTGTGTTGATAAAAGTTCTCTTTGACTATGGAAAAGTGCCTTTCACTTGGCCTTTATTACAAGGAACTGAGAGGCTGGCAATCATTCGATGAGGATTTTCACTGGGAAGAAGAAAATCGTTCTGCCACAGGCCAGCCATTGTGACTTCTTTAGTTAGAATTGTACTCCCTATCCCAAAAACAAATTTCACTTGTAGTATAGCATGAGGATTTGGCATGGAGGAGCACAGTTACTTCTATCTGAGCCTACCTGCTTTTTCTTAAACACAGCCCTGGAAACAATAAAAACAAGATTCACGAGAGACACCGGTCTTTGGAGTCAGACAACCTGGACTCAAGTCTTTATGTCATTTGAGAGAATTTAGTTAAGTCTCTTAAACTCCCTGAAGTTTCATTTCCTGTCCTACAAAATGAGATCAATATAGTTACCTCCATGGTAGTATGGGGGCTCTCTAAATCTAACTTCTCCATTCTTCTAAGTCCTTTCTTCTGCTCAAGAGATCTTTCCAAAACAAAGGAGTGACCAAGTCATTTGCCTTTCCCAAACCTCCCCATGCCTGGAGAACGCAGGCTAGACCACACAGAATGCCATCCTCCTTCCCATTGGAACAGTTCTCAGGCAGTCTTGCTTGACTCACCTCTTGAGGTCTTTTGCCTCAATCCATTTCTTGGTCTAGCCACCTCAAAACAGTTTTTATCATGTACCTTCAATGCCTTCCAGCTGTATGTTTGTTCAAAGCACCTCCCCAAGGTTTTCCTGTCCAAAAGTTTCTTCCTATCCTTGTCCACTTAACAAACTCTTGCTCATCCTTCCAGGCCAAAGATATCCCCACAATTGCTACCTTCCCAACTGTTCCTGGAGTTTCTCCCCAAGAAAACAGATTAATCTGCACCAGGTGAAACAATCTCATTTTTCACTTGGCTTCCAACATGAAAAACAAAAACAAAAACAAAAACGTTTTATTTGGCACCTAACATGAAAATATCTAGTTGCTACTTAACCACACAGTAAAGTTATTTTTTAAAAAATGCAATCTGTACTGATAACCTAAGCACTAAAGGCAAAGTATCATGTTATTCAGATTCTCAAAGTTGATCAGCTTTAAGTCTAAATAGTCTAAGTAGTCACTGGATTGTGAGAAAACCAGCACACATGCAGAAGAAAATGCCACCTGACAAATGAGCTCATCCACATCAATTACTCTGAGCACTGCTATCACTTGTTAGGTACAAGATGTATCATTTCTAATTTAATACTTTAAAATTGGTATAAATGAATACACTGAGATTCAGACAAGGTAAGTAATTTGTCCAAGTATTTAGTATGCAGCAGGCTTGTCATCAAAACCCAGCCCTATCTGCTTCTAAAGCCCATTCTGTTTTCACCCTTCCACATTATCTCTCTATTGGCCTTGCCCTTTGATCATAGGTAGGTCTTAAAAGCAATGGTCTCCCAGGTTTCAGGTGCTATCTCTAGCCAGGTCACTCAAAATCCTCTTGCTTGAGAAAAAGGGGGTTGGTGTGTGCATTTAGGCAGGTTATACAACCACCTAAAGAAGAAAAGAGATGGAGCCTCTTGAAAGCACAGTTACATCATCCCATTAATAATATACATCATTAAAGTAAGTTTTCTTCCTGGCACTAGATCCAGTGATGACCTTTCTTATTTTTATTTCAACTCCTTAGAATATTTTTTATTTTTGCCTAAATAAATATAATATAGTAAGATTATAGCATGATATAAATTATCATTGAGTTATTAAAAATGTCCTCATCTCCTAATTCCTTTGACTGGGCTCATCGGAAGGTGTTTAACTATTGGTAGTACTGGGAATCTTGGTGATGGTAGTAGTTGTGTTTGGCGACCTAAAATTGCATACATATCTTACGTCAAACGTTTTTTGGTCTTATGTTAATTTCAAAAAAAGAGTTTATTGACATTTTGCATGAAGCATGGATTAATACGCAACAATGTTTCTCACAGAGCCTTTGCAAAGTAAAACAGAGGAATAATTAGAAAAATCAAAATGTTCCTTCAGTAGAAGACAAGCTAGGAAATCATGCATGTCTCAATGAATGGAACATTTTAAGCGCATCCTATATTCTTATTTGGAATTACTATTTTTAAAAATCTAGATATAGATATAGACATAGACACAAGATAGACACATAGATACAGAGCATTTAAAAAATCAATCCAAACTGGAGAAAAACTAAGTTTAAAGGTTAGTAACAGGGGCCCCTGGAGGACTCAGTTGGTTAAGCATCTGCCTTCAGCTCAGGTCATGATCCCAGGGGATTGAACCCTGTGTAGGGCTTTCTGTGTAGAAACAAGGCAGCCAGCACAGGTCGCTGCCTGAGGAGGGGATCCTTTCTCTCCCCAACACAAACACAGAGATTTAAATTGACTGTAGCTCCTATCATGCTGACACTTAGCACTTAAAGAAATTTGGATTGTGGCCATAGCTAATGGGGAAGCTCCCAAACACATCCCAGTTGTCAGTTCTACCTCCTGGACTGACTTATAATGCTACTATTACATGACTCCTTAAAGCATGTAAGTTGGCAAAGAGAAAGATACTGAGTCTATTCTTTTTTTTTTTTTTAATTTCTTTTCAGTGTTCCAGAATTCATTGTTTATGCACCACACCCAGTGCTCCCTGCAATATGTGCCCTCCATAATACCCACCACCAGGCTCTCCCAACCCCCCACCTGATACTGACTCTATTCTTTTTTTTTTTTTTTTAAGATTTTATTTATTTATTTGTCAGAGAGAGAGAGAGAGTGCACAGGCAGACAGAGTGGCAGAGGGAGAAGCAGGCTCCCTGCGGAGCAAGGAGCCCAATGTGGGACTCAATCCCAGGATGCTGGGATCATGACCTGAGCGGAAGGCAGCCGTTTAGGTTGCCAACTGAGCCACCCAGGCATCCCCTGAGTCTATTCTTGACATAGGCTTTTTTTTTTTTTTTTTCAATTTCTTACAAATAATATGAGTTCTCCAGTTCTTTTATAGCTGAAAGCTAGCCCAACCCTCATGAAAAAAGTTGGCCGGTTAAATTAAACACACACACACACACACACACACACACACACACACACACACACAATTGTAAAAGGCTGGATTACCATTCTGTCCTAAGTAACATGGTTGTGGTAACAATTTTTTTTTCTTTTCAAAGTGAAGAACACTTTACACACTGCTGACAATAGAGCAGAGTTAGGACTGATTCTACATGATATATGCATTTCCAAACATGCTTATCTTGTGTTCTCTCTCAGCCCATATTAACTATTTCTATGGAGTTTTTAAAAAGATACTGTTTAAGATAAGACAGGAGGGAAGGCTGACTCACCCAGAGCAAGTCAGGAAACCTGCATCAGGAAAAAGCTATGCAGAGAAAAAGGACCAGGGTGCCTTATTCACTTCAGAGGTAAAATCCCAACTGTGAATTCAATTTGGTTAAGATGTCCTACTGCCTGAAGAAGTGGGCCATTTTTAGGGAGTCATCAGCCATCAATTTAGGGGCCTACAGACACAGTCAGAAATTACTATGGAACAGAGATCTGGATAATTTTGGCTATTCAACATAAAAAAAAATAAAGTCTAGCATTCTGGTCTAATGAATGACAAAGGTATAATTAGTCATTTTAAAACAAGTGATATTTTCAGCGGTGAAAGTTACAAAAATTAACTGTTGACTTGCAAACTTCTAAAATGCATGTTGAATATACAGAAAATAAATAGCAACTAATATCGCTCAAGAGTTAACTTGCAAATTTTTAAAAGAATTTAAAATTTACTCCACAACTATTGTATACAAAGTACCATAAAGCAAACTACAGAAAGCAGAAGGACATCCGAAAACTTAAAAAGAAATAGTCAACAGTAGGTTTATGACATGTCACTAATTAATAATTGATTTTCCATTTTACAGTTCCTAACCAGGTAAGTGTCATTCACTGGAAGAAGTGCCCTTCCACCAAAACAGAAACAAAAACCCAAATTAAATCTAGGGAAGAAACTCAGAACAGTGATTCCAAATATTAAATATCAAAATACATATTGATTGACTGCCTTTCTAACAGTTTTTTGGGCAACATGAAGATAATAACGATCATATCCCTACTTCAGGAAGTTAAATGGAATAGTAAAGCAAATATTGAGCTAATAATTAAAATGCACAGAAAAAGAAATAGAAACAAAACAAAAAAGCCTAAATAGCTAATAATTAAAATCCAAAACATGCTCTTTGTTCTGATTATCAAGATAAAAATCTCAGGTCTTCACCCACATTTATACTTAGATATAGTGAGGTTTGTACCCAGGAGTACAAACCCCACCTATTAAAAGGTCCACATCTTTCAACTTTTCTTCCGTAAACATTTCCCCAATTAGTGTTTTAGTGCTGGAGTTTAAGAACTATTTTTAAAAATGTTTTTATTATGCTTTATTATGCTTTCAATAAGACATTTTGTCATTCTAATACATTAGATAAGAGAAGACAACCAGGAAAGACTGAGAAACCGGGTAATTTGTAAATCTTTACCTGAAGGCCTTCAATAGCCAATCGCAGCATGCTTGGTGTAAGTTTGGAGGCTTGCTTGAAGGTGAAGTTACTCCAGTCTATGATCAAAACAAATCCATTCACTTGAAGCTCAGGATCTTCAATCATGGCTTCTAAAGAAAGTAAGATGGCACGCAAAATATCCACCAGTGTGTACCTATCAGCAACAGAAATGGACGGCATTAATCTAACAACAACTTTGGTCAACACTGTAGAAAGTGTTTCGCACACTGAAAATTCCCTTTAAAATACCTCAGGAGTCTGAAGATCATTTTGTTTAGAAATCATCTTCCAAGAGGAAATTTATTTGCTGCACTCCGGGGACATATTAGAATTTAATATGTATTCTACCAAAACAAACTAAAATGCTTTTGAAAATACTTTGTTTCATATTTTACAACAATTTCCTTTACCTCCAGTCCTTCCTATGATTTTCTAAAATCTCACCTCAACTATCCTGAGAAGTAGGTATGGTACTTTTTGAAGCAGCAAGAATGCCCTCAGGAATACTGATATTTCACACCTTCACATCTGGAAATTTTGAGAATGGGATTCGAAGGAGTTTCACCAATAAACAAGAACACTGGGGTTAAACGGCTATGGTTAAAAATGTCAGCAGATTTTAATTTCTCATATGGAGTTTATATCACAAAGACACAATAAAAGAAAGAAGGATATGGGATAAAGTCTTTATCTTTTTCAGCCTTCCACCTTAACATAGTGCCTGGCACCTTGTAGGAACCCAATGAATGCTCTCTAAGTTCTGTAGAATGAAGTAGCCTAGAGTGTAAAGACACTAACTGTAGACTAAGGCAGCAGAAGGAAGAGCTGAGAAGTCTTTTAGGGGTAAATTTGTTAAAATTTGATAACTGGGTGCAGAGACCTAGATCGAAGGAAGAGTAAAAGAAGACACAAAGATTTTCTAGATTCAGAGCCTGGGTAAATGGCAAAATCTTTCATCGAAGTCAATAATGCAAGAAGAGGATACAGTTGGAGGATGGCTGGAAAAGTAGAATTTGGAATAAAGCCCACTGTAGCGTCGGTGAGAAGTATGTAGTACACCCAGAAATATATATCAAGTAAACATCTCAAAAAAGTAGATCCTAAACTGAGAAGAAAGCTCAAGGGGGAAAATTCCAGAGTCAAAAACACACAGATCCTAAGTTCAAGTAAGTGAAGGAGGTAATGTAGTTAGAGCTGAGAAGATAATGAAGTAATGATTCAAGAAGGGAATCCCAGCATTCCAAGAAGAATCACCAAATTTATGAAAATGTTAACATTTCAAGTTTTTTCCCCTCAGATAATCAGACGGAGACATCTAGGAAAGTTAGAGAAAGAAATGCTGACCTCAGGGAACAGGTGATGGGGAGGGTTGGTGGATTAGGGGTAGAAATCCATAGCATGGAGTGGAAGTGATGAGCTCACCAGGAAGACAGTAATGCCATGGTGAGAATAAACCATAGTACCAGAAACAGCAGACATCAAGAGGCAATTTGTTTTAGATAATACAGTTTAAGTATGGTTTTCCAAAACTGAGGCCAAATCGAGAGAAAAATTTACAGATGCATCATTATTCCCAGGGGAATATAAGGCAAATCCCATGATCAGCAATGAAGACAAGCAGGTTTGCAAAGTTTTCAAGAGCAAATTTCACCAAGTTTTTAAATTTAATATCTTTCTTTGAAAGGAGAATCAAATGATCTTTATATAAATCATTTTGATCTCCAATTGAAGAGAAGACACATTAAAACCTCTTAGCTAACCACATTCAAAGGGCAGGTCAAAACCACTCTTGACACTCCAGTCCTCTGTTGTCAAACATGTCACATTACCACCATTAACAGCCCAGCAGACTCTTCATAGGCAGAACATTGTTACATGAGATCTTGCCAACGTCTATCAAACATCTTCCCAAGAGACGGAGGATTTTATGAATTTTATATCTTCAAGAATCCTGTCTTCATTCTTCTCTTTAAAGTTATTTTTCGCTATTTTAATCTACAAATCTGAGGCCACTACAATAAGTGTGTTCGTGTTGGAGGCTTGTCTTGCAACAGTAGGAGCTCTACCATTGCAATTCTTCCCTTGTATGCTGGAAGAAAGCCATAAATAACAAACTAGCACATTAATGCAGCTCTCGAGTCTTGATTGTGCTTCCCAAAACAGCATTAAGTAAAGCCTGCATTTGAAATCAACTTGGAGAGGATGATGCATGGCATGTAGTAAGAAGAAATAAAAACACCAGTAAGGGATTTTACAACTGGGACGCCAGACTATAGAGACCATTGCTTTCGAAAGATAGCAGAGCTGCGATAATGCATAAAAACTGTATGGAGAAGACAAGAAGGACACATGTACCTCCTCTTTGCTACCGATACATACAATCAAGAGCGAGAAAGCTTGTTCTCCTGCATCTGGCCATGCTAGGATCAGGGGTGCCAACGGGCCTGGGCTGTCCTGGGGTTTACAGCATGGCGTCATCTACAATTTACAACCCATGCAAAGCGCAACCTGAATCACAAACAGGTCATTTCCTTCCCACTCCCCACCCTTTTCTTTCAGCCTGACAAGGAAAAACTGGCATCTGGGCATCACATTGAACAGCCCAACAGCGAGCAATTTCCCTTTGTCACTAAATCAATCAGCCGTTATTAAATTCTTCATTAAGGCTGCCCCCGCCCCTTGGTTTTCATTAAGCCACGTTTCTCGCGTCTGAAGCACTTCCTATTAGAAAGGTGCTGAGGGGAAAGACAAAGGGGAAGAATTGCCTCTATTAATGCCTCAGGGTATAATTAGTGCTAAAACTGATGGACCTATCTAGGTGTTTTATATTACTGAGTGGTAATAATAATAATAATACCTCTCTCTGTGTAATCGTTTAAGATTTCCAAGGCAATTTCAAATGCATTACCTTAATCTCAAAACAAGCCCAAAGTCTCTATGCTCGCTTTGTTCCCGTTATTTTGGAGATGAGGACACAGGGGGTCAGAGAATTCAAATGGTTCGCCCAGGATCACCCTGGCAGTAAAGCAGGGAGCCTGGATGAGAAGAGCCAGGTCCTTCTGACACCTCAGTTCTCTGCCCTCCCCGTGCTGCCTCATACCTAGAACACAGTCTCATGAGCTGTTCTGCTTTTTCAGGTCTCCCTGGCATGTGTGTCAGAAGACAGACCGGAAGTCAATTCCAGCGTGGCCCCATGCTGAGTTCCATGACCTGCTCCAGCCTGGCCGCAGCAGCAGGCTTTGGGGAAGGAAAGGAAAGAACACATCCCTATGAGTCTGGATGGCAAGAGGAAAGGTTTACAAACCCTAGAAAAAACATGAACTCTGAAATATTCATCTGTCTGGCTTGTATCACTGAGCATAGAAGATTAACTGTCTGAGCCTTGCTTTAGTCTTACTGCTGTGGGACTATAGGTGAGTGAGAACAAGTGAATCACTGAAAATGAAATATCTACAGGAATAATGTCTTTCTTTGTGAGGAAAAAAAGGTAAAACAATGTGCACCTACCGCCACCAGAATAAAATAAAACAAAACAAAACAAAACAAAGTAGAACTGGGCTGGGAAAAAATGCAAACGTCAGACTGGCAACTCCTTTTAGGGCAGAACACTCAAAACAAAGGTCGGCTAAGAGCAATCTTTGTCTTTGGAGATTTATTCCAGCCACTGAACTTTCTAATTGTCTATCCTGATGTTCAGTCAAGATTTTCTAAAGGATAGATGGAATTCCTTCCCCTAGATTTGTTTTTTTCCTCGATTCCTGTGGGTAACTGTCTATACACACAGAAAAAGTTTGACCAATTCACTTACTACTCGTACGGGCATGGGTAGGACACTCAACCGCCCACGGCCTCAGCTTCCTCAGCACCAAACTGTGGATGTCGGTAGGACCTGCCTTGTAGGATTGTGATCAAGATTTAATAGATTAGGGGCGCCTAGGTGGCTCAGTGGGTTAAAGCCTCTGCTTTCGGCTCAGATCATGGTCTCAGGGTCCTGGGATCAAGCCCCGCATCGGGCTCTCTGCTTGGCAGGGAACTTGCTTCCCCCTCTCTCTCTGCCTGCCTCTCTGCCTACTTGTGATCTCTCTCTGTCAAATAAATAAATAAAATCTTTAAAAAAAAAGATTTAATAGATTAATGTTTATGAAGGGCTTAAAAGAGTGCCTGGCACATCACACATATTATAAAAATGTTTTAAACAAATGAATAAATGAAGTAATTAATTAATGAATTAAAATGAAACAATAAAAGTTTAAATTCAGTTAATGAAAAGGCGATGTTCTCTCTGCACAGCACTAAGGAGCCCACAGGTGCCCCTTGGTCCTGAACTTCAGCATGGCCAAACAGTACCCTCATTAAGCACTTACAGTTATTTAGGGCCTTGTGTTTTTTTTCTTCCCAGGGGGTCAAATGCCCCCCGCTGGTACAAAGAATGTGTTACGTGTCTTCTTTTGCCCCTGGCACCTACTAATTTCTATGTATGTAACAAATGCATACTTTTTTTCCTAATTATTTGAATTGAGTACTGTTTGCTCAGTTTGTTACTTGTTGTTGTAAAGATCTGACATGGATGTTCCCCCCTCCCCCAGTCAGGAATGTTGTTTATTATGTTAGTAAAGTATATGCACCTGCTCTCAGTGATGTAAAAGAGCTCAACCTTCCCCAGAATGGATGAATTTTATTCATTCACTAAGAATACCATTAATTTACTAACCGTTGGCTTCTGTTTTAAAATATTTTTGAACATTTCTTTTGAGGCATCCTTTCAGTGCAGTGTAGTAACCTCAAATCATTTGCTTCTCTTCAATTTTTCTAAAGTTGCATGTCTAAAATATGAAAATAGCCCGGTTCAAGCCAGACCCCATCAACATCCTACTTTAAGGTTGGCACTCTTGGTCTTTGTTGTTGTTTCATCATTATTTCACTAATTACTGTATAATTGCCCCAGTTTCTAGAGACCGTCCTATTTTTTTTTCCAGAGATTTGTTCCAATATTACACTAATATTTCTCAGGACAAATTTTTTGTTGTTATTCCTATTTCCATGGTATGAACCAAGGGCATAGTCTGGAATAAGCTGCAGTTTCCAGAATATTTGTTAAAAGAGCTTCCTTATAAGGAAGCAGAATGGAAGCTCTGCTGGGACAGAAGTCCCATG